GGACAAATAAAATCATGAACTGCTAATTCTGTTAAAGAATATAGCATCATACAAACAACATGCAATAAATCTTGCAAAATAATGCAACAACAKTTCAGGCATTTCAGACAGCTTAAGTGGGAGAATCAAGCTGTCAAAAAGTTTTGCTGAATTTACATGTCTGGATCCCTTCCTCATTTTATTTTCAAACTTTCTCAATGCATTAAGATTGCTTTACAAACTAAAAAGTTATGTACTCTTCAGTGCACTGATTATGATGGTTTTTTGGAGGGTGTCCCAGAACTCAAACAGAACTGTTCTGTTGTAGGCTAAATTCTTTCCTTAAGAATGSTGGAGTTTTCTAATAAGGTACCACACTAAAGACATTTTGAAGAGACCCCAAACATGTTTTAAAATTGTGAATTTGAAACTTTAAAATATTTTCAAGCTAGTTCTGTTGTCTAAAGATCAACATTTCACATCTCAGTGGCTTGTTTATTGGCCACGTTTCCACCTAAGTGGAAAGTCTGAGAGAGAAGATCCTTTAAATGCCTGCAACCTAAAATACTGSCACCAGTAGTCTGAAATACCAGAATGAGTGTCCCATAAGAGAACAGCACCTGCATTTGTGTCATCCTTGCAAACACCGTGGCATTTTAGCATGAAACCCCTCTCCAAAGCAGGCAATTTCTGCTGGGCAAGCTGAGATGGTGGGGAAAACCATCTTATTTAGCACTACTGTCACAGGTGGGTGTATTTCTTCTTGCTATATTCGTTTTTTTCCAAGTGATGTGAGATAAAAAACCATTYCTGAAGCTGTCCTGTGGGTGTATCTCCTTGCTCTGAATCCTCATAGTGGCTGCAAGGGCTCAGGAGTGCCAGGAAACTCTTGTTCAAAGGGAACCCTTTGAAGCCTGGAGAGACCTGTGGCATAACTTAACTATGCTTTACAAAATGTACCAATTTAAAAAATAATAGYAATTTTAAAAGTCAAAAGAGGACCTTGCTTTAAAATCATGCTGACAACATCCCAATGACATAAATATTGCAGCTCTGTCACTTCCATCCTCAGTTACCTCTGAAATGAATAACTACTTTGTGCAAACAATTTAGCAAGGTCCCTGCTATCTCACTTCATAAAATATGTTATATTGGATACARCTCAGATCCAGTATTAATGTACAATCAATATTAAACTGTAGAAAGAAAAGAATCCTGAGCTGACATCGGACACAGTAAACATTCTGCATTTATGCCAAATAAATCTTACCACTCTCGGTGGTTTGATTTCAATACAAATTAATCACATGTATTTCAAACTCCTCTTTTTTAGCTTCTGTTAAGGTTCCCTGCTCTGACCCACTCCAACAACATCTCAYAGCTTTTGCTTCCATATAACATTTCCCATGGTCCCTAAAGCCATAAGTGCTTTCATAATTTAAGTTTGTCAGTGAGCCAGAGAARCAGGCACAGTTTCCCCCCTTAGCCAGAACAACACTTATGAACAGGCTGGACATCAAAAAAACCCCAAACCATTTACAGTTTGTTATGTTTCCAGGAATAAAAATATTATTTACTCCAGTCGAAACTTTTTCATTAAGGCAAGGCATAACTATTTTTCAAAGTTTCAGGTGTACTTAAAGGTTATATGCGACATTGATTCTTCATAAAAAGGCAGGCACCTTAATGCCTAACAGTATTGCTACATCACAGCACAAAAGGTACAATAAATAACCTTAAAACYAAGCAACTGGTCAATGTATAGAGAGCAAACATTTCATAGAAAATATATTCTTTCATTTAAGAATGCTTCTGGGTTACTTATTAGCAAGTAGTTATCAGAAATAGTGACTAAAAACCAGGTACAGGTCTGCTTTCAAAGGGGGGAAAAGTGAAATAAATAGAAAATTTCCATCTGGAAGAAAAAAAATGCACATAATTTTATACTCAGATATTTACTCCTGATTGATTCCAGAGAATAATAACAGTATGGGCTCTTCTCTGTATTCAACAGCTAGGCATCATTCCATGAACACAAGCCCCATACAGCTTCCCCTTTAATAGTTACAGGGGTAAAAATAAATAGATATGTTAAAAAGATTACTTGATCCTTCAAAATTGATGCAAGTCTGGGTATTTGTCAAGATTACTTAACTCAYTAAATTATAATTTCAGATTTTTAATCCCTATAAATCTGAGAGGTAAATTAGAGAAATAAACAAGCAATAAGATTGATCAGTCACAAATTACTTGAGATTTTAGAGAGAAAGAACAATTTTAAAATGGAGAAGCCAGATTGCCACATCTCACTGAGAAGCAAATAAAAAAGGATCATGAACCAGTGGTATTTTAAGAAACTGTTATAGTTGGCATTTTAGAAGTACTGAAGAGGAAACATCTAAACAAAGTATTTGTGTGAGGGAGGAAAATAAGAAAGGAAACAAATAAAGAAATAAAAGTGGCTTTCCCAGTTTGTGCTTCTTATTCTCAAAAATGAGATTCAAACCTGTCTGTCAACCCACCACTGCTTTACAGGCTTCTCCCTCTGCAGCCTCTCTTTGTAGTCCCATTTTTAGCCAGAAGAGTCCACAMGTGCTATACAACTCTGTTTACTTAAATAAGCAAGGGAGCCATAAAAGGAACTTGAAATTTCGCAGTACAAGCAGAAGTGAAAAACAAATGCTGAAGATGAACTGAAAATACAGAGAAACATCGGAAATATGGAAGTGCAACTGAAATGTCAGAAAGAAAGAAAAGGAAATCCCAGTTCAAACCACTGATCTAATTGCTTAAATTGTACTTTAGAGGTAAACATAGTCATGAATTGGCAAGTATTTTTAGCTGAAGAATAGCACAATGAAGTTTTTATCATATTTGATAATAAAAGTTCCATAAACAAGACAGTAAGTGTCCCATGATTGTTAAGTGGCAAGGAAAGAAGCAGGATAAGCTAAAACAATGGAAAAGATAAAAAGAACAATACTTCAGATGGATGTCTTTAGCATGTGAGGAGAGAAAAGCACTTATCTATGTTTATGCACAGAGACATGCAAGGAGAGAGCAAGTCTGGCAATGATGACACCGGATGAACAGAGAAAACCAACTACTTTGTGAAGAACATTTGCAAAGTTAAACAAATATCCAGCTCATCTCTTAATCCAGAAACAGTAATTTAAAAATGCCCACTGACACCCATAATCTATTGTGAGTGTTTTCCAATTTGAAGCATAAATCAAAATAAAATCAAATAAAATACTAATCAGAAATGAGGCATATTAGATCCACAAACGTATGCAGGCTTCAGTGGCTTAGCATTTCCTAAGCCTGGATGACAGCRAATTTGTTTACTCCCAGCATTATGGAAGAGTCATCTACTGAAGGTCAAAGCTGGGCAGATGTGCAAGGATTCAGAATGAATAACTAAAAGTTCAGMATTTAATGTCAATTTTTCTGCCACAGCAAAGGAAATCACCTCAGCAGAGATCTTTCACTTTTGTGCCAGGTAAAAATTGAATCCCTTTTGTGTTACCACCTTGCGTATTTGCAGGTGACATCTGTAATGCTCCAGAGTAGTTGTTGTGAGAAGGTTGGAACAAAACCATGAAGATCTATCACATAATTTGAACTATACCCCAAACCCCCATTGATACATTAACAGTCATGCAGGGATTTAGATAAAGGTAGCACAGAAGACACACCTTTAGCCCGAATACCTTCCTAAATATACTATATTGAGCAAGGTATTTTTGTGCTGCAATTACAAACATGTGCTAGGGTTTTGTATTCAGAAGTTTTTCTAACAGCTTAAAAACAAATAACCAACACAACTCAARCTGCTGTACTACTGAACTGTGTGGGCTGTACTGATTAAAGCCTGTTGTGAAAAAATTATTAGCATGCATGTAAGTAACAGCCAAAGTCCAAGGATCATCACCAGGCTGCTGTTAATCAGCCCCTTCAGTGATGAGAAAGTTCAGGGGTCACTAACTCCCTCCTGCACCTGCATACAGATGGGCTTTTTTGGCCTTCTACCTCGCTGCTGTTTGGAAGGAAGGTGGAAGATGAGCCTGTCTGAGCTGACATGCCAGGGATTTCTGCAGGACTGGCCCTGAGCAGTTTACTGTGAAGCCTGAAGCAAACGCAGCCAATCAAGCAACATATCAATGTCTGTTCCACTATGGGGAAGAGGTGCACCCRTAAATACAGAGCAAGCAGGGAGCAGTGGGAGATGCTGACTGTCAAGGAGGCAGTCATACAAAAAAACACAACACCAACACATACACACACGTGAAATTTTTCTTGATTCCCTTCCTTATGATGAATGATGCTGGGGTTTATTATAAGTGTGAAGGAAGCTGATGCRTCCTTACAAATACACAAATACACCCCACAGGTGTAATTTTTAATATTCTTTGCYGAGCAGTGTGAAGAAACCATTTTCTTTACCAGCACAGTAACACAGATAGCATTCCTGACTTGGACCAAGGAATTGCTGACATGTCTGGAGCCAAATTCTGGAGGCAAGAATGACTTCAGGAAAGGAAGCATCTCCTACAGCAAACACACAGCTCCTTCAAACCATGACTGCCCAAAGCAAAACCAYTCCTTGGCAGAGGGTACAAAACAGTGACTCTCTTGTAGCAGGTATTCCTCTTGTCTCTTGATATGAAGGACATGCTGATACCACATTTGAGAACAGGTAAAAAAAAGAGCAGAAAGTGGCTAGAAAACTTTCAGAGTAACTCATGTCCTTTTGCTCTTACCCTACCTAGAACAACACTAAAAGGACTTCAGTAAGAGTGATGAGCAACATACTAAATAACAAAAACAGCCTGTTCTGAGACAAATAATACATTTCTGTATGCATTCCTCATTGTGCAATAYATATCCACTTAAATTTCCCAATTTAAACTGCAGAACCAGAGAGACAAAAACTGTGCATCATTGTAATAGTTCTGTGGCAAAGATGGATTCAAGATAATTTTTTACATGTTCTCRTCACCAAAAAGCAGTTGTTTTACCTCTTGATATTAAGCAATGCCCAAGGTATCCCAGTGGGAGTGTTGAAAGCAGGTAGCAGTTTCTCTCCAAGCTCCACCGCCTTTTTTCGGAAAACCTGAAAGTTAAGAAGAAACCAAGTGTTGGAAAATGCACTGCTGCTACAACTAAATGAATTTAGCAAACACCACTATTGAGCACATGGTACAATCCATCTCAGCACAGTGAAGCATCCCTGCTCCTTCTGAGTGGCTTCAAAGGAGCAAAGCAGCACAGCCTGTTTTCCACGGCCCCTGGTAAGGAGGGAACTCACCCAGCAGGGGTGACAATGCCCAGATGAGCTGCTTCTGGCATGAACACCATTGAGGCAGAACCAGCAGCACAGCCAGACCTGATGCTGCAGAGCACTCCTGGCTGCCCCTGCCATGTACCTGTGCTCAGGGAAGGGGACAGGAGCCAGGGACACTGCTCCATCCCAGCTGGCTGCTCAGCAGCTCCTGTCCCAAAGTGACAYGTCCTYCTGGAACACGGGATGCAGCTGGAGRAAGGCCACCTTGGYTCTCTGAGTTCATTAACAGGAGCTCAGAGTGCTCTGGGAGCCTGGGCTGCATCGCCAGGGACCTGCTGTCCTGCAAATCTGCTGCACTGTCACTCTGKGGCAAAAGCATCCACATGCACCTCTGAAAAAATAAACCCCACAAATTCTGCAGCACTACAGTCTGTATGGACTCAGCTGGCTTGTACCCAGAGAGTGTCAGTGCCACAATTAAKCAGAAAATTGGAATATACCCCTGCAGACAATTGAGACTTAACTGATATTTAGCATCTAAACTGTTTGAGCTTTTATTTCAAAAACAGGAACCAGAAAGACCCCAAATGCTTACCCTATACCCACATGAATGACAAACAATTTAACAAGAGGAACTTTCACATCCAGGGCAATAGCTAAAAAGCTGGAACAAAGAGGATTGAGCTTTCCTTCAACTGCCAGCTCAGCTCAGGTTACATTAACCTTCCTGTTTGTGCATTGAGTGCTCTACTAAGAGAGTTTTTAATTAGAAGCAATATTGTTCCAACTTAAATATAGAAACCTATTTAGTGATTTCAATATGTGGATGTACAAGGCCTATTTGCTTGGAATTACACTGGGATCTTGCACAACACTGAAAGGGATTATCCCAGGTGTAGTAGTCAAAATAGCAAAGTCACCTTCATTGTTCTCTCTTTCTAACAATGGCTCCTTTCAATTCATTTTTTCTCCCCAGACATATTTATGATGGATTTATATTTAGTTATGTATTAGGAATCAGACTGTACATCTGATGTACCTTGCAGTGCAGTCAGGCGTGTACGTTTATGTGAATATATAAAGACATTTGCTGGGCAAAACAAGGTAATGCAGAAATTTCTTACCACAAAAATAAAATACAATTTGTAAAATACCMCTTTCTAAAAGCCACATTGAAGGAAGGTTTTTATTATTGAAAAATACATGATCAGAAGTGAATATAAAACTCTGGGACAATCATAAAGAAGCTCCAGACGATCCCATCCCACGGTCTCTCCATATGACACACATCTCAAGATTTCTGTGGCAACAGTCCAAAATCTAGAATTACAGTAAAAGATATTTTGAGGGAGGTGAAGTAATTTCAAGACAAATTGTGTCTGRAGTCAGAAAACTTTCTCGAGTGGATTGAATGAGTGTGCTGGGAGAAACCTGAAGCAAARCAGCAGGGAAAACAATTTCCTTGGAAATCCCTTCATAATCCATYATATTTCTGACTTCCCAGTTTACCAATTATGTGGATTCTGATGAGAATTAGTTATGGATTTGTGATCTTTATCCAGCACATAATTCAGTCTTCCCTAGGGTGAAAGCCTTGAGGAACACTGARAAACAGTTGGTACAGAACATAATTATCTCTTTAGCAGCATTCCTTGGGAGGAGCAAGGGACAGTAACCCACCAGGAGCACACAAGCTTCCCCTTGTCACACTCTGCAGCCACATCTTGCATCTGCCAAAGCCAAACCTATCCTTTGCTCTTTTAGCACAAGAGAGGCCTCTCTCAGCCTTTCACAACACATGGGGTGAGCAGCTCATCAGCCTCTCTGCTCTGAAACACTGAAGTGACAGGAGAATGGCCACAATCATCCTCCCAAGCAATGGGCACACCAGGACCCAGAGTTCCTGCAGAAGAATCTGCTGCACAGCACAAAACCTCACCTTTGGCTGTATGTAAAAGGGCTAGATAGAGATCCAATTAAAGTTGTTAAAGATGCCAAAATGTATTCTTTTTAGATGTTTATGTAAGGACAAGAGGAGAGCTCCCCTTCAAAACGCACACGCATGCTGAGCCACGCCAGAGGCAGCAAAGCTCAGTACCTGCTGTACCTTGCAGCCTGTATTAATCCTTCATCATTAAAAAGATTGCATGACAGCTCAGAATGAGGTCTTTTACAATAATTGCTTCTGGACAAAAGTGTGACATTTTAGTATGTTAATTTGATGTAGAGCAATAATGGTTTGCTTTCAAGTATTTCTACCAGCTCTAACGTATTTTTTTAAATTCTACTGTAAATTCTGSTCTAGCACAAATTCTTTCAAAATAAAAATTGCCTGCATTATGGAAATGTCACAAACAATGGCCATAAAAAAATAAACACCTGTGATACAAAGCAGTATGGAAGTATTGTTCCACACAAGAATATAGAAGGAAAATGTAATTGAGTCCTGACAAAAATAGYGCCCTAAACACCAACATTAGAACACACAGTGAAGCCAGGCATTTTAATTTCTTTCTTGTCCAAAATGCACCTCTTTCAATGCAGTAAACAATTTTCATACTTGGCAATTAGAAAAAAAAGAATAAAAAAATATTTTTTAAACCATTTTAAATTTTGAAACAAATGCTGAGGTCAAGATRCACTTCTTGCTTATATGAGAATTTCAACAGGTTATTACTGATGCAAGCTAGAGATTTTCCTTCCCCTTCCAAAGGTAAAAATAAAAAYCAACTATGGACAATATCTAATTTTATTTCTAGGACTAATTTAACATGGCTCAACAACTGGCTAAATCACTATTTATAAAGGAGAACAGCCTAGACAAGAATTCAACACTGAATGACTAAGCACAATAAATAGTAGCCTCATGCAGTAAAAATATATTCTTTCAGCAAGGGTAAAAGGGTGAAAATAAATAAATGGACCACTTTATTTCTCAATTTGAAACTTTAACAGTTAACAATAATAATAATAATAATAATAGCAATAACAGAAAAAGCAGGTGCTGCAATTATTGCACATCATCCAGAGTATTAACTGTATTTTTCTTTTGCAGAAACTTCAGTATTGGACAAGAAATAAATATTGTGCTGGGAAAGAGGTTTTTTGGGTAACAGCAGTGAATAAGCAATAGGAACTTCTACTTATTATCTCTACTTTTGACATGAATTTCGACTTTTGCCAAGCCCTGATCCTTCCCCACAAACCACCGGTAAAGTGATTGTTTGGTAAGCACAGATTATGACAGCCATTATCAAGAAGCACARAGCAAAGGCAGAAATGACGGAGCACAAAAATGAGAGACATTATATATAATAGAGGAAAATACCTGCAGTGGAATTTCCCATCCCAGTGGTTATCTTTAGAGCCTTGAGGACTTTTTCCTGGCTTTTCCTCATGAATGCTCATCCAGCAGTAATGAGGGATTGCTTACATGAAGAACTCTAACTGGGTCAGACCTGGCAGAAGCTGTCACAGTCCCACATCTGCACCCACACTTCACTCCATGCTTAGTTTAAATATTTACCTAYAAGTCTAAAAGTCTACAAAGCACTCCCAAGGCCTCCATCACTTTCTCCAATGCTCTATCATATCTAGACAGCATACATTTTAAAGAAGAGGGACTGAGGAGCTATTTACCTGGCACATTGGCAGTCCCTTTATCAGGTGGTGCACAGAGTAAGCCYCACAGTCATCAATCCTTCTTTTGAATTGAGGATTCACAGCAAAGTACTATGATTAKCTTTTAAGAGCAATGAAGTCACTAAAAATTGCACTGATATTTAACTCAGGTAAACATCATACTACAGCAAAGAAAACAACTGTGTTTCATGAAAGAAAATGATAACTGAAACCAGTCAGGAAATATGTGATCAGTATGTAACACTATTAAGTTGGGCAGGACATGAAATGCTTTCTCAAGCATTTCTCTCTAACCTAATTTTTGCTAGTAGTCAGACTTTGGATGTGAGATAATTCTCTTTTTGAGCTCAAAGATGCTCCTAACATTTTTAAAAAGTATATTATGGACTCTCACTGTGTGAAGGTCCTGTGTAAGATGGACTCTTCCATGAAATAAGTAGAGATTCCTTCACACTCTGCAGTCCTACTCAAAATAAGCACTAAAGCAAATTAGATAACTACTATAATCATACAACAGATTAGATAGAAGACRGAGTCACTACATTTCCTATTTCAATTCCTATTTGGGTTAGTAGGCTGTGGATGGTTAAAATAAGCTCAGGTCTAAAAAGGTAGCAGCACCTTCATTGTCCTTTGAGTTATCAAACTTGAGTAACTCACAAACACAAAAGTGACGCCAAACCGCCCCCATTGCTCCAAGCCAGCAATTCTTTGAACAACATTTGAGTGAGCATTAATATGGAAACAAGAAATCCACTTCACTGCTGCACACACTTGTGTTTCTTGTTACTATCTGTTCATTCCATAGCAACACAGGTACCAAGCCAGGGATCAAAACATTATYTTCTCACCCATTAGACAGCCTTAAATATTTCTTAAATACATAAAATTATTTTTGGTCTCCATAAGAGAGAACAAACTAACTAATTAAGAGATCATGCATCCAGAACTGCAATGCTCATGTTAGAACATCCAATGCCACAATCAATCTTGCAGACTCTTCTGTCCATTAACAAATCTTATTAGGGAAAAGAGTGTTCCCACAGAGAAACAAGGATCTGCCTGCAAAGCTGCAACTGCAGGGCAAAGACCAGACCTGTCATCTGGTGAGCACTGGCTTTCATTATAGTGCAAGAATGTTATCTCCTCTGGATAAACAAAAATGTTTCCTCTGGCTGCAATTACAA